TAGATGAAGGATAATATTGAAGAAAAAAGTAAATTTGTATGAATTTAAATTGATTCCTTTATTAATAACTTAAAACTTGTTTGAAACTTATAAATAAGTTCATTTATAACTTAAGCAAAAAGCTATTCTATTTATACAAAATAAATTTGCTATAGTTTATTATTTATTATACTATAAACTAACTATTTTAGTAAAATTCGATTATAAAATAATAATAAAAGATAATAAAATAAAGATAGAAAATAGGAGATAAAATATAATAAAAAGAAATAATAAAAATAATAATTATAATGAAAATAATAAATATATAAAAAATTAAATAAAATAAGCTAATTAAATAAATCAGTTGAATCAGATGAATTTTATAAATCCTACAAATTAAATAAATCAGACTAATTTTCTAATGCAGTATGTCAATCAAGATCTTTCTTAATATGATCTACATGAAATTAAATCCAATAACTTTGTAAATTATTTTTCTAAAGCAAATTTTCAATGTTAGCAATATTATTTAATTTATTTTATTTATTTATTTTAACTAAATTATTTTATTCATTTATATTATTTATTTATTTATTTAATTTATTATTATTAATACTGTATATTGTTATTGTAGAATTCTTCAACTCAGAGTAATCACATTATCAAATCTTTACTCAAAATTTCTAACTGCAGTCTACTGTGATCAAGATATTATGATTCACCTAACTCTTAACTTTACTAAATTCACACGTTAAACTTAAACAAATTTATCAAGTATGAAGATTTGAAAAACAAGATTATGAACAATTTAATTAAAGAATTTCAATGACAAACTCAATTACAAATAACGTGTAAGGATCACGTCAGACTATATAAAGATACAAAAAGGCAGAAAGATATAAGTTTTGAATGATTTCTTTATTAATATTGAAACTCGTATTCACAAGAAAGTTTACAAATCTACAAAAGAGTTAATTTACAACATAAGCAAAAAGTCTATTTATTTATACAAAATTTCTTTTGTTACAGCTAACTAATTACTATACTATAAACTAACTAATTTAGTAATAAAATATAAGTAAAATAAATATATTGAGAATAATAAAAATACGTAAAATAATTAAAATATAGAATATAATAAAAATAACAATAAAATTTAGAATATTCAAAATAGGTATAACACTAAATATTCTTAAATTTCATTTAATTCATAAAATTATGATTATTATCAGTATTTAGAAGATCTTTAGAATTACATAGATCTTTCATATTTTTAAAATTTGCAGAATTCTCAGTATTTTCAGAATTCTAGATTAAGAGATTGTCATACTGCGTCATCTTCATAACTTTATTATGACTGGTTAATTGCTCTGTTGATAATATAAATATAAATAGTTTGTCAATGTAAATGAGAGCAATAGAACTTGCTATAATAAATTCTTTTGATAAATAAATTGATTAATATAGATGTGTTAATAGAGGCAGTATTATTCTTTTATTTGTTAATTAATTAATTGCATACACTTCTCTTAATTTGTCATATTTATCTTTATTTCTTTTATTTATTATCTTAATTTTTACTCCTCCATATGAAGAAAAACCTTCTGCTAAATTCAATATTACAAATAATTTACTTGTAATCTAAAAAAACTAATATAATAATAGCAAATGCAATTTATAAAAATTAGAGAATTATTTATCAATTTTAGATGTATTATCATAAATTTCTTTATTATTAAATCTAAGAGAAAGCTATCTGTATTCAAAGATAAAAATAATAAAGTAAAAGACTTAATATTAAAGTTAATTAGGTATTATTTAATATCTATTTCAACTATAACTTCTATACTAGTTGATATTATAAATATAAGAAATTTTTTAGCAATTATAAAATAATAATAATTTTATTTTTCAACTATTTATTATAAGTATATAATATTCAATAAGAGCTAAATAGATATTTAATAATACTATTAGAAAACTAAAGTAATCTTTTATTATAATAACAATTATAAAAATAAGATATTTCAGTTTTAAATTAAATAATAAGAAATTATTTATACATTCAAGTTATAAATATAACTTTAAAATAAGATTTTTAATTGCTAAATTAATTATTTTACCTTTAAGAAATAGATTAGAAACAGAAACAACTAAGGTAACATTATATTTAAAGAATTAGTTTTATTAAGATATTTATAAGAAATAATATAATTAATATAAAACAATAATTAGTAAAAAAGAAAGGAATAGTTTTTTAATATTAAATTTAATTTTAATATATATTTATATTTATTTATAATTAGAAAATAAAAACTGTTATCAAATTCAAAATGAACTATTAGTATTTGCTTTATCTAAACTTTTATATAATTATACAAATCAACCAATATTAACTCAATTATTAAGCAAACAGATATATTTATAATTTTAAACCTTTATATATATAATCCTTCACTTTATTTTAAACTAATAAAAATAATTATTTTTATTTTTATATGCTAACTAATAACTGATTCTTAAATTAGTTTTAATAAATTAGTTGGATTAAAAAAAATATTTTTTAGATTATATTAGATTAATTTTTTTAGATTTTATTTTGATTATTATAACTTTTTTGATAGATTAAAAAAAATTATATATATTCCTTTATCTTTAAGCATAAATTTAATTTAATAAACTTGATATTTCATTATCATTTAAAATTACTTAAATTATTATAAATCTTATAGAAATATAATTTATTTATTTATTAAAGTTTAGTTTAAAATATTTATCATTTTTAGTAATATTTCTAAAAATTAATCTTAAAAAATATATAAATTTGATAATTTTTAATAGTTTTTTTAATTATATTACTAATAAAATTTTAATTTTTATTAATATAAAAAAAACTAAATTAGATATTTATTATATTATGTTTATAAATTATTTTATAATTAAAATAAATTTAATATCTTTATAGTATAAATAACAATTTAATTGTAAAATAATAAGTTTTATATTTAATTAATATGAAAGTTTATCAGTAAAAAAAAGAAAATTTAAAATTTCATTAATTTTAAATTTTAAGCTAATTTTGAGTATATGACTATAATCAATTAAGTGAATTAATAGAAAAAAAATACTAAAATTTAGATTTCTTCTTTTTTTATTAATTAACTCTCAATGTAGAAAAAATATATATTAATAGTTATTAAAAGTAGATACTGCAATTAAAAAAATAGCATAATAAGTTACATCTTATAATGTAATTAAATTTTTTTATAATATAATTAAGTTGTAAATTAATTAAAATTTGAAAATAATTATGAAGACTATCTTTAATAATTATAAAAAATGATGATAACTATTAAAAAATTTATTGAAATTATGATTAGATAAATATTTTATTTTTATATATTACACTACCCTCAGAAAAGTATCCAATCAGCTAAAAAAATATTTTATTTATTTGGGATTTTGATATAATACAATATTTAATATTTAGTAGATTATTTTTAGCTCTTAATACATGTTTTGATTCTATATGGCATGCTTTTTATAAAGTTATTATTAGTTTCAGATAAAATTTTTTCTCCATTCCTCTTGCAAAATTTCTTTAAATTTACAAAGATTTTTCTAGATATCTAGAACGTTATTACATTTTCATTTTAGTTTACTCTATAATATTTAATTAAATTAAGGTCTAGAGATTGAGAAGGCTAATTGGAAAGTATTTTAACCTTTTTTTAGCAATTTAATTTTTAATATTCTTTGCTATATGAACTGGAATATTATCATCTTAGAATGCATATAGCTGCCTATAATGTTTGGATTAAATGAATAGCAATAAATTTTTCTCTAAAATGTCAATTTATCTTTCTCTTAACTTTTACTAGTAGTACCAATCCTTTTCTTAAAAAGCATTTCCATACCATAATGTCACTACTACTATGTTTAACTATAAGAGCCAAATTTTCAATATTATATTAAATACCATTTTCTTTTCAAATATGACTGGATCCATCATTTTTAAAAAGAGTGAATCGTGATTCATCACTTTAATTACTATTTTCTATTTTAGATTGATTAATTTGCTACTTTATACATCATTTTAATCAATTTTTATGTTATATTTTTGTAAGAAGTAGCTTTAATACTGCAATTTGTAAATGAATTTTTATTTGATGAAGAAGTTTTACAAATAGTATCTTATGAAACTTTTCTATTTTTTAAATTTTAGAACTTATGATGAATTTTACTAAAAGAAGTTTGATTATTCTTCATTATAATTTTTTTAAGGATTTTATGATTGTTATTATTTATACAAAGTAGTCTTCTGATTCTTTTAACATTTAATCCATTATTTGAATTAGTATATTAAATGATTATATCTATAACAGTGCTTTGTAAAATTTTAAAAGATGAACAATAGCTTTATAAGTTCTTCTAATTATCTATAAACTGATTATTTTTCACGTTTAAACTTATTTAATTTATGACTTTTTCCCATATTGAATGATGCAGTTTTTAAAAAAAAGAAATAATTTTATTTTTGTTTATTAAACTAATTTATATATTATTATATAAATATAAATATATATACGTTATTGTCAAAATCAGAAGATTCATTTAAAAAAAATAGCTAGTTATTATATCTGATTTTGAGTAATTTAAGAAAACCTTAATTGGATACTTTTCTAAGAATAGTATATATTAGGATTATTAGTTAAGTTAATCTTAAATTAGTTTTAGTTCTAAGACTTATAAATTCTATTAAATAGATTTACAAATTAGTTTAATTAGATCTTTATATAATAAGTCTCAAAATTAGGTCTAAATAGGTTTTAGAATCAAATCTAAATAAGTTTACAATATATTTCTATAATATGATTATTATAGTTAAATAATTAACTAATAAATTACTAAAATGTAATTAATATAAAAAAACTGCGTATCTAGCAAGTAGCCCATCCACTTGAGCATAGCCACTTATAAGCTACAGAAAGCTAATAAATAAGTGCCACGCAGCTACTCTATAAGCATTCATGCATTGGTAAATATGAAGCTGCTATGCCAGCTAAAGCAGTTATGATCTGTTTTTTGCTTTGTAAGTCAGCAATCATTTTGTCAACTTGCTGCTGATAACTATTAACTGTTTCATAAGCTTTTTTTTCTTAGAATTAACGGAAGCATAAAAAGTCTTGCATTTTTTTAAACAATTTAAATTATATATAAGTTTTAACAAAAAATATAAAAAAAATTATTATTATAATTATAATAAAAATATTACAATCTATATCATTAAAAATAACATATAATGCTACTATTTACTTCAACAATTTTATATGATATTGCAAGCTTAAATTGTATTTTAATATTTACATTTTCTATTATATTTGATATTAATAAAAGCTTGTTTTAAATTTTTTTATTCTTTAATATTTTGTTTATTTATTATATTATTATCAATCCAACTTTTTGCATATAATGATACCTTTATAATTTCTGAGTTTAATCAGTTTTGAGTTTTAATAATTATTTTACTTGCAATAGAAAACATTTATTTACATACCATACTTGTTATTTATTTCACTAGATAATTCTAAATTATTAATAAAAGTATTAGAATAAGCTTATAACTAAAGGAGAAGATCTATATTTTTATCATAAGGTAAGGTTAAGTATTATTCTATTTTATAAAATTAGAATTTATAGTAGTTAAAATTTGTATTATTCAGTTTCTAATTAATACTTCTTTAATTGATAAAAAAAGTTTTACAGTGATATGAAACTTTCTTGAATGATTTGAGATTGTGATTTTTATGTAAATTGTAAAAAAAATTATTTTTATAAAGCTTGTTATTAGTTCATCTATAGATATCTACTGAAATCTCCTTAAAATAATTTTATCATATCCTTTTCTATATTTTTAATATAGTTTTGATAGTTTTAGCTTTTATAGTATTAAAGGATTTTATTATATTTCTTATTATAATTTTAATATAATTTTGTTTAAATTTTAGCTATTATTAAAGGGTTTTATTTCTCATTTATAGGTTCATCTAATTCAAAAAGAGATATTTTATTTTGAGAATCTAATATTAATATAATAGTAGTTGTATTATTAAAAATTTTTTAATTTTTTGATTAATCAAATCAGTTAATATATATTAATCAAAATCATTTTTTTTCATATAATAAATTAAATAATTTAAATTTTATTAAAATATAATTATATATTAACTATCATTAGATATATTGATCCTAAGAAAATTTTAGTTACACTTTTAAAATGATAAATATTTCCTTTTATTATAATTTAAAAAAAGAAAAATACTAATTATATATTTTATTTACCTTTATTTTAGTTTATGTTATAACATTTAGCATTAAATTTAATATTCTTATATACTTTATCAAAAGTATTTTTAATGTTATTTTCATTCTTTAGAATTTGTGAAGTATATAATAAGTGGAGTTATACCTTATTTCAATATTTATTTCAAATTATAAATATTTGAATTATTTATAATATACAATTTACATAAGTTATTACATAATAAAATGAAATTTGTAAACTTTTTTATTAATATCTATATAATTTAAATATCTTATTAATTATCTTTATTCCTTGTTTAACTATAAGATTAAATATATGAGCTAAATAGTAATAATACTTAAAAAATAAATTATTTAAATTATATTCAAATTCTTTTATTAATTTTCATTCATATAAGATTATAAATTTATTATCTATAATAAATATTAATATTTAATTTATTAAGTTAAATTCAGGAATGATATATAGTAAAAAATTATTAAAGTATCTAATTTTGATTAATATAATAGATTATTAAATCTAGGTATATTTTATTGCTTATCATTAATGTTTATATATTTATTATAAAAAATACTTTTTCTGATATCTTATAAAAATTGTATTTAATTTTTAAATTTTAATTATCAAATTCTATAATAATTAATTCTTTTATTTAATACTTATCTAAAACTCATAAATAATTACTAATTAGAAATAATCCAATTAATAACTACTTTATCTCATTTAGATTTTCTTTTATAGGCTAAAGAATTATATATTAAAAATTTAAAATTAATTTTTATTTTGACTTTTTGGTATCATTATACTATGTTAATTTAAAAGGTAATATTTAATATTAAAGTTACTAAACTTTTTAGAAAATATAAATTTATAATTTATATAAACAAATACTTTTGAATTATTTTCAATTTTATAATTAATATAATTTCACAAATGAAAATTTTACATAAGTTTTATTTAGTTATAACTTCATTAAAATTTTATAAATTTTTTGAAGTTTATATGAATACTACTTTAACTTCTAGTATACTATCTATACTATTTATACTATTTACATTATTTTAATATTTATAATTAAGTTATATAAGTAAATAATGATATAAATAAGATATAATATAAATATATAAGATTATACAAAAAATTTTTTATGTTAATTAATTTATATATATATTAACAAACTATTTTATAAAAAATTTATACAATCTATATATGTATTAACAAAATTTTTATTTTAATAAAATTGGCTTTAAAAATTAGAATAAATTATGAATTAGCTTAAAATTAAAACAAAAATAACAACTTTAATTAAAAGTTTAAATATATAATTAAGTAATATATATAATTAATTTATTTAATAAAATAATTTTAGATTTTAATATATAATAATTTTAATCAAAGTTATCATAAATGCTAGTATAAATAAATTTACAAATATGATTAATTAGAACTTATTTAGAATCATATCTAGAAAACTAAATCTAAAAACTTAAAGATTTGATTTATTAACTAAATTTTTAAGTTTAGGATTTAAGACTTTACTAACTCTAAATGTATTTAATATTTTATTTATTTATATTATTTTTTTTTTTTAATTATAATTATTAATTTAAATAAGAAATAAATAATATTTATATATTTTTATTATTTATAATAAAATAACTTTTAATTATTTAATAAATAAAAATTAAATTAAATAACTAAAAATCATAATTTTTACAAAAAAAAAAATTAATTATATTAGTGATTTTTAATTGATATAATTAAAAAAGTAAAAATAAAATCAATAATTGCAATTTTAAATGAAGTTTATATATAATTAAAATGATAAAATATTAATTTATTTATTAATCAATTTTATATATAGTTTATTTTTAATATAACAAATTTTAAATAACAAATTTTACAATATAATAAATTTTTAGTATAATACAGATTTTCTATATTAAAAAAATATTATATTAAATTTTATTAGATAAAAGTTATATAATAATATATAAAAAAATTATAAATATATATATATATAATAATCCTTTTTAATAAATTTATTTATAATAATTTTTTTAATATAGTGACTAACAAAAAAATGCAACAACTTATTTTTAGTTTTAAAAGCTTATAACTTATTAATTACAAATACTAAAAGCATAATTTTTGATTCTTTTTAATCCTTATATTTTGAAAAATATCTTATAAAAATTTATTAACCAATTAATAATACTAATTTTGTATAATATAAAATTTTATATTAAAAATAGTACTTAATGACTTTTGAGCTTAGAAAACTTTTTAAGCAGGCTAGCTATCATAAACTGATACTAGTTTCTAATTTTCCTCTACGTGGAGATTCTAATAAACTAAATTTTATTTAAATCAAATTATCTGATCAGAAGATATTATACAGCAAATATTAATATTTTATTATATAAAATTGGTTAGATTCATTTTTTATAATAAAATACTGATTTTTACTACACGATATCTTCTGATTAGATGGTCTGATTTAGATGAAATTTAATTTATTAGAATTGTCATATAGAGGAGAATCAGAATGCAGTATTAGTTTTATGATAGCTAGCCCAATAATGCCAAAAGACTAAGTTATTTGGCCATTTTGAAATGACTTTTGAATGACTTTTAAATAACTTGATCATTTGAAGTCATTTATCATTTGGTTATTTAAATGTAATATAGACTATATTTTATATGCTAGCCAAAATTACAAATTATATAATGTGGAATATTTATGAAAAACATTCAAAATATTAAATTATATTAATTATTTTGATCAGAATTTTTGAAATCATGTGATATAATTTTTAAATGACCAGGTCATTTGTCATTTAATGTTGAAATGATCCAAATGACACATAACCAGTCATTTGAGTCATTTGAGATTATTTAGGTCACTTGCTATCACTGAGCTAGCCTAAGCTTAAAAGTCATTAAGTATTATTTTTAATGTAGATCTTTAAATTATATAAAATTGGCATTATTAATTGGCTATAAATTTTTATAGAATATTTTTTCAAAATGTAAGGATTAAATTGAATCAAAAATTATGTTTCTTAGCATTTGTAATTAATAAGTTATAAACTTTTAAAGCTAAAAATAAGTTGTTACATTTCTTTTATCTGTTACTATATAATGAAGATTTTGAAAGATAAATATTAATTTAAAGAAAACCAGTGATTATATTGTGAAAAGTTCACGCAAATATTTCCAAAATATCAAAATGGCAAAAATGATTCATATATGTATTCACATTTGTAAAAAATACTATGAATACCTTGAGTAATCGTTATAATCCAAAAAGCAAATTCGAATTTAAAAAAGATGACAGGCAACTTTGTCTTAAAAGTTGGTATGAAAAGTTTAAATTAAGTGGATTTTAAATATCATCAATATCAATGAATTTTAGCATCAAATTTTTGACTGATTGATACGACTTGTAATTTCGTCAGTTATCTTAAATTGAATGTTCCAACGAAATTCCTTTTGTTTCTTTCTTTCTGTCACTTGTAAAATCTTAAAGACCTTACATGTGATACGACTTATTTTGGGAAAACCTTAATATATTTTTTATATCGTCGTAATGTAATAAATGATCGTAAAGTAAAATATTTATTCTTATTAAAAAGTTGACATAAATATATAAGAAAGAGTAACTAAAAATTTAAAAAGGTAAGTATATCCAATCTTATGAATATGGATATTCCTTTAAAATCCTTTAAAAATACTTTTGTGAATTTGTGAATAAATAAAATTTATTTGTGTATATAAAATATTAATAAAAATGGTTGTTCAAAAATCAGAAAATTTGTAATAATATATATTGATATTGAAAGAAATAAAAAAATTTTCTTAAAA